AAGACCTGTGAGAGTGAGGGATCATTTTCCAGGATAGGCTGCAGATTGTTAATGATGCGCTGGAGGGGTTTAAGTTGGGGGCTGTAGTGATGACTAGTGGTGTTCTGTTACTTTGTTGTTGGGCCTATCTTGAAGAAGCTGATGCCTGGGTACTCATTTGGCTCTGTCTGTCTGTTTTTGTTTGTTTTGTTTTTGTTTTCCACTTCCCCAGGTGGGTGGTATTTAAGCCTGATAGGGATCCTGTAGGTGTTTGTGTCTGTGAGATTGGAGCACATCCAGTGGTATCTTAGGGCCTGCATGTAAACAACTGATTGTGTGATGTGTCCTGAATGAAAGCTAATGGCATGTAGGTAAGTATAATGATCAGTAGGTTTCTGGTATAAAGTGGTGGAAATGAGGCCATCATTTAATTGGTAGGTAGGCGCAGTTGAGAAGGTATCTTACTGTTTTTACTTGCTAATAGAGTTGATTTGAAGCATATCACATTTTTTTCCTTAAATTAAGTCATTTTAAGACAGGTTATTTCAAGATTCTAGGTCATAGAGCTTAATAGCTGTTCCAATAAGCATATATTCTCCTGCTTTATTTTACTTTTTATGTAAAGAGGATGTTATAAATTAAAACAAAGAACTGTGCAGCATTTATGCTATCAACCTGCTGTTAGATTATGAACAAATGATTTATTCTGTGGTTTCTTTAAGTAGACTTTTCTCCTTAAATATATGTTTCGTCCCTCTTTTTCTTATTGAATTGTTTGGTACTAAACCACTCTGTTGCTGATCAGAGGATTCTTCCCCCCTAAAGTAGAGTTAGTATATAGCCATACCCCTGAATCACTGTGAACTAAAATCGGCTCATTTTAAATATTAATGATTTCTTAGGAGTCCCTGTGGTAGTTATTGTCCACATCTAAAGTCTCTGTCTGCAAGCCCATATTCCAGGACTACTTCAATGTAGACTTCAAAAAATATACAGAGTATTATCACAGAAACTCGTATACTAGTTAGTTCAAATACATTAGTCTTCTCATACATTTGGCCAAAATGTATTATTGAAATTACATCACCACAAGTCCCATGTGAGATGTGAATAAATTAGACGTTTCAATTTAGACCCAAGTCAATTTTCAAATTCCAAGGAACAGGCAATTTGAAAGTCTTAAACCTCCTTTGATAACTTCAAATGTTCAAAATAATTGCTTTTTACTTGCAAAGCAAATCAAGCAAAAGGAATTGAAGTAGGTGAATTGATTTAGTTTTGACAAAGACAAAAGGGAATGAAAAGTGTACTTTAAAACACATACTGCCTTAACTATGAAAAGATTATTGGCCTTTCATAATGAAATGTGCATGTTTGCTCAAGAGTTACTAAATTGCTAAAATCGCTGGATGAAGTTCAGCTTTTATGTCCTATGCCTATACTGGAAAAATGTATGCTATGTATATATTGTAATTATGACACTTTAAATCATCACTTAGCACAGTGTAAATAAGAGAGTCATGCTAGGGCTAACCAGCTAATAAGTTCAAAGCAAGCACATTTTTACCATGTTTTTTTAAATACCGCTCTTTTTTCACATGTAGACAGAGACCTTGATTGTAATTAGATGTATCTAGCTCCCAGTACTGGACTTCAATAGCTAGACCAGGCACGCAGGAGATACTTAGAAGGAAGGTTGGGAGGATGCAGCTCAATGGCTTCTGATAAACTTAAGTGGATTCTAGTAAATTTGAATCTATATAGTCAAAAGATCCCCATAGCCAAGGGCTCTTTGGCTAAACTTAAGAGAAAAATACAAAAGGAAGTGGTGTGGCCAAATCCAACTGCCTTTGAAAGCCTTAACCTAAAGAATCAGGTATCCATTGTGCAGATGCATGAACTGTAATCTGTAGAAATTGGATTAGTCCATCAACCTAAGCAGTAACTTATGTGTTGTGGCATGATATGGTCAAGACTAAGTTGCATCATTAGGGTTATTACACTAGCAATGTCCCTTTGGAATGCACCAGTGGAATTGGGTATGGAGGAGGACATTAGGTGGTAAGCTTTGTTCATAGCAAGTCTACTCCAGAGATTTGAATACTCATGAACCAGAAGGAGCAATTTTGTGTGAGGAAGCAAGATGCGTTAGAGATATATGGGATCCAACCTGTAAATAGTACACCAGTTTTCTCTACTTCTCTTGAAGGCAAGGAGACATTTATTTTACATTTGAAAGGGCTTTTTATGCAACCCAAAGGGCAAATCATGTAACCCTTTTTAAAAAACCATCTAAGTTTCTGCCAAATTTGAACTTGCAGGGTCAGATCTTCCACTATTTTGCACCTTGTATTGTCATGTCATTTACACCTGTGCAAACCATTCTAACCTACCTCACTTGTAGGCCTCACAAGTTTCTTCAACAGAAAATGAGGGCTGCACAGTCCTATTTGTTAGGGAAAGTTTGCTTCTTGCCATTGGCAAGTGGATTTATCAACTAGCTTGTAAGAAATCTATTACTTGCTTTTTCAGTGTGCTGGAGATAAATGAACATGGAAACATGCCCATTAAAAATGAAGAACATCCTAACCAGGAAGAAGAGGTGGATGAGGATTTTGTTTAAACAACTCACAAAATTATCCAAAGCGCAGGACTTGCTGGTGATGAGGGACTATAACTCTAGACATCCATTGGGAAAAATAACGGAGCAAGATGATCCAACAAATTCTTGAAATGTATTGGAGGCAATTTCTTATTTCAGAAGGCAGAGAGAGCTGTTGCAGGGAAGCTGTTCTAGATTTGATTTTAACAAATAGGGAAGAACTGGTTGAAAATTGAAAGGGAGCTTGGGTGAAAGTGATTGTGAAATGATAGAATTCATGATTTTAAGGAATGGTAGAAGGGAGAACAGCAGAATTAAAACAATGGATTTCAAGAAGGCAGACTTTAGTGAGCTGAGGGAGCTGGTAGATAAGATCCCGTAGAAAGTAAGACTAAGAGGAAAAACAATGAATATACTTAATAATGTTTCTTTGAAAAATAGCTAAGTGGGCAAGAGCTCACCATTCCACTCTGTGGAAAAGATAGGAAGTATGGCAAGAGACTACCCTGACTTAACCCCAAGATCTTGACTAATCTAAAAATCAAAAGGGAGTCATAAAAAAGTGGAAACTAAGTCATAGTACAAAGGATGAATATAAGTGTAGGGGAGCCTGGACTACCCTGCCTTGGCAATAACTTGTCCAAAGTGCAGATTTCTGGCCTGTTTCAAGTCTGGTGTGCCAAAGCATGCAGGCAAGGCCCAAGAGTCAGGAATTGTTTTGCATAACAATGCAGATTAAGCATGGTACGCGAGACCACGTCAAGAATACACAACAAGCAACCTTGTACTGGTACTTCTGTTTCTGATAAGCAAAAAATTACATATGCAGCCCTGAAACTGTCAGCTATGCACATAACAACAACATCCTGAGTAGGATGTACCCCACATAGGGGCATTGGGCATTTTATGTATCCTACACAATACGTAATCAATTCATAAATATTATTAGAACAACCAAGTCTCATTTTGCTATAAAATGGGCTTAGTAAGAACAATCAATGGGAGGGAATGGGCAGGATGGACTCTCACGTCCTGCTCTATGTAACTAGAAGTAAATAGGCCATTTACACAGGCGATTCAGTGCATGGTGTTCCATTGTGTGGGAAGAGAAGGAACCACAACTTCCTGCCTGGTACTGTAGGTAGCATATGGGTAAAGTGTAAGTGAATTAGGCTTTATTATTATATATAGTAGATCTCTTATTAATTGCTTTTGCATCGCTTTGCGCTGTATAGGCAGTCCCCGACTTACGCGGATCCGACTTATGTCGGATCCGCACTTACGAACGGGGCTGTCCGCACTGTCTTCCGGGGCAAGAAAAGCTTCTCCCGGTCTCCCTGGTCTGCTGGGGGGGTCCAGCAAAGCCGCTGGACACTCGTTTGCCTGGGAGCAAAGCTGCCCAGGCAGCGGGACCCCTGCCGCCTGGGCGGCTTTGCTCCTGTCCCCCTGGTCTGCTGGGGGGGGCCAGGAACACCGCC